GGTCTTAAAATAAGTCACATTTGCAGTCTAAAAAGCCTGCCATACGAATATAAAATTTTTAAAGAATGAGAAACAATAGCAATTGAAAGCAGAGACTTACCTTGTTCTTTTAGTGCTTAAAACTCGCAATGCGTTTCTCAAAATGATGGAGCAGATCACATATCATATAGGAAGTAGCAGGTGCGTGATCTTGCTTTACATGCAACATACATTATTTGCATAAAAGCAAAGAAGTGACCTCCTGTTCTTGTTTGTGATTGGCTGCTCCAGGCTGTTTCGGCCTGACACCCGATAAGCTTCTACTGTACCTGCATTATGGTCACTCCCAGTTTATACACAAACACTATTGTGTGGTTCTCTCTGTCCTGCCGAACCTGCCTTGGTGACCACCTTTCATTTCCCTCTCCTCTAACCAAACACATGTAGGAGAAAATGGCAGGAACGAATATCTCTGTGGATAAGGACCAGTTCTGTTGCTCAGTGTGCTTGGAAGTGCTGTGGGAGCCGGTCACGATTCCTTGCGGACACAGTTATTGCATGGAGTGCATTAAAGGTTACTGGAGGAAATGTGAATTGAAAGTGGAATTCAGCTGCCCTCAGTGCAGACGCACCTTTAGCCCCAGACCTGCGCTGTCTAGAAACACCATACTGGCTGATATCGTGGAGAAACTGAGGAGAACCGGCATTCAAGATGCTGGTGGGAAAGCAGCAGATGTCGAATGTGACATTTGCACCGGGAAGAAACATCGAGCTGTTAGGTTCTGTGTGAAATGTCAGATGTTTTACTGCGAGATGCACCTGAAAACTCACAATGAAAGGAATCGTGGCAGGATGCATCCGCTTACTGAAGTTACAAAACAACTGCAGAAAAGAATCTGTTCACGTCACAATAAATTGCGGGATGTTTACTGTCGCACAGACCAACAAAGCATTTGTAGTTTGTGCTTCAAAGATGGACACAAGGGGCACAGCGTGGTGTCTGTGATGGAGGAGAGGATGGAAATACAGGTAACGAACACTGTAGAGAAATATGTGAATTGCACAAAGTTGCACAAAATTCTCACATGCATGGTTTTCAAACAGAAACATCTTGAGGAAGCATGGAAAAATTCAAAACTGAGGTGTAAGGAACGAGAAAAGGAACTCAGAGACATTATAAAATACGTCAAGGTAGGTCTACTGTCACTGTGACAGATTTCTTATTTTTTTGGGTGGAACACTTCTTTGATTCTACTTTGCTAACTTTCTGGTGTTAAGGCCCGTTCACACCAAGCACTATAACTATAAAGATAACGATA